TTTCTTTCTTAGGTTTCTTACCTACAGGTATGGGAGTAGGACTGAGGTCAATTGATACTTGAACATCAGTCATGTCCACATTGCCTTCTATGCTATGAATTGTAGCTTCATGTGTTGACACTTGGGTAGGTTTTGGAGGTATTGTAGAAGGATGAACATACTTACCAGAAGCATGTGTATCCCCAAAAATAGTTATCATCTTCTTATAATTCTTAAACCCCTTTCTTCTGATTTTTTTTCCCCATTCTTGATGACTTACAAATTATTATCATACAATTATTCATCATAAAATCCTTTCAATATTTACTAACTAATTACTAACTGATAAGTGCTTAAATGTTGTACATTTCAGCACCTAAGCAAGGATATTTTAGTCCTTGCATCTATCTTACTTTCATGTTTTAGTTCTAATTTATGTTTTTGTCAATTTCAGGTTAATAAGGTTTAAACGGACAAATTTCGGTTCATTAAAGCCTTTTTGGAGTCAAGCAAAGACAGTCGGAAAAAGTTTAGAAAATGGTAAAAAGAGGCAGCAGCCCATTGTTCGTATAGTGTGCTTATCCTTCAAAAGTGGTCAATTCTACCTTTTTTTGGGCCTTTGATGATGTTTTCAACAATCAAGAAGCAAACCGATTAGCCCGAGGCCAAAATGGAGTTAAACAATGCTTAAAAGAAATTTCTAGCACTGAGGGATCAAGATTGATCCCCCACTGTTGGCAGAAAAGTGTAAAAAATTACCCTTAGGGGATCGATCCCCCATCCCCTGGCAGCATTGTGGGATTTATCTGTTTACTTGGCTACGGGATTTTCTTATTTGGGCTTATTTTGTGAACTATTGGCCTCCAATAGGGTTTGTACTAAAGAAAAAACAAGATTAGGATTAGAAGAAAGAGAAGAGCAGAGGCACAAGGGTTTCAAGAACATCTACACACTCATCTCTCTTGAGCATTAAAGAAGAAGAAGGAGCAAAGCATGGAGGAGGATCTTGTTGACACTTCGACCACCACAACCATGATGGGCTAGCTCTCCACTTAGGGCTTGGTTAAGCCCTAAGTCTCTTGTAATCTAAACCTTTGCAATTTCTATTTTTGTGGAGATTAATATAATGTTGTAGTTAATGTTATGGCCTTGTGATTCTTATTTACATTCTTGATTTGACAAATCATGGCTTGTGTTGGTTTAATTCTTCCATTAACTATATATGTTGATTACATGTCTATGTGTGATTAATCTAGTGTTATACTCTTGATTAGATGTTAAAGATTAATTCTTTCATTAATTCTCTATGTTAATTACATGTCTATGTGTGATTAGAGGATTATACTCAACACTAGATTCCATTGTTATTTGGGTTTAGTGATGGCTATGACATGGTTTTTATTGGATGGGATTGTTGATTAATTTAATGGGTTATACTTTATCTTGATGGATTGTGCTACAAATTAGTTTACTTGTCATTAGGTAGACAATCTATGCTTTGTAATACTCCTAATTTTAAAAGGATAGTCCTGGTATTTAATTATTTGTTTAATTGTATTTCTACTTGGTTATCTGATTATTTGGCTAATTGGTTAATTGTCTAATTTAATTATATGTTTTGTCTAAATGTTTTTAATTATTGGGTTTATTTAAATTATTTGATTATTTGTCTAGTTGTTTAATTGTATTTTATTTTTCTGTAATTACATTAATTGTATTATTAGTATGTTCTTTCATTGACGTAATTGTGTGAATAAGTTAAATGCGTTAATTGTAATTTAGGGTTTTGTTTTATTTTCTTCACGCTATGGCCGACTAGAATTTTAATTAGGATTTTTGTCTCCAATTATAAGCAGACTAGGGTTCTATATTAGCTTATATAAAGAACAGTATGTCTGCAAGGATTTGTAAACCCAGTTCCCGTATACAGAAAGACAGAGAGAAAGAGAAAGAGGAAGGCTAGGGTTTGGCTTATACTAAGACTGAATCAAGGAGAAGTTATTGACGTATGCTCGTGGGTTGAACTAGGAGCAGCAGAGGTCAATAAAAAACAACTAAGGTCGCTGAAGTTACTAGAGACGACGGTTTAAGATTTCTAAACTGAAATCAGAGACAAGTCTATGTTCTAACTCTTTCCCCTAAACCTGTGTTCTGTGCATACCTAGGTAGACTCCAGGAATTTAATTAATGTTAAAACAAGTCGTTTATGCATGTTTTAACTATATGTAATTTTGTTGAATTAAACTAGATTACAAGTTCTTACATTTCTGTTAACTGATGCATGCTGTATTTGATTTTAAGCTTAGTTTAATTGATGTCGTTGATGCATGTCGATGCCTTATAACTATTTTGGGACATTGATTAAACACTATAACAAGTATTAAAAGAATTACAGAGGCCCTGGGAATTGCCGGAGGCGAGGAAGATGAAGAAGAAAACGCAGACGGCTTCAGAAAGTGAGAAAGCAAGCTCCCAAAAGGAGGGAGCCAGCTCCCTCATCAATGGAGCTGGATCCAAGGGGCATGGAGCCAACTCCTAGCTTCATAGAGCCTGCTCCCTAAGTTTGGGAGCCGGCTCCCATGCCAATGGAGCAAGCTCTAAAGTTGTGAGAGCCTACTCTCACCCTGAATTACGTTTTAACTGTTTTTAAGGCGTTGTTTGGACTGTAAAGGGTGTTTATACTTGGTTTAAATTGTTTTGAATGATGTATATGATTGCTGTAGACCTGTAAAACAATGGGGAAACATTAATTCATAACTGGACTAAGGAATGGAGCAAGGTGAATTTGAAGAAAAACCTGTAGGTTGTGCACTGTTTTGATTAATAAACTTATTTACTGGAACTTGGAGGTTATTTTATTTATAACTTAATACTGTTAATCATATTTAGACAGAGTTATAAGTATAATGGATAGCCTGAAATCAACTATGCTTGGTTTAGAATAAATTGATATTTGGTTGCTATTTAACTGTATCGATTTATGGACAATTTGGAGGCTGTAAATGCTTAGATTTATTTTAGTAGTTTACATTATTGGAATATGATGTTTAGGCTCTATAATGAATGCATAATATTGATATATATGTATTAATTTATATTGATGCATATTTTGGAGAATGGTTGTTGAATATATAGTGTTGTTTTATTGACTATGTTATTTGGAGGATTATTTGCACCGGTATGAGACGGTGGCATACTAAGGATGGAATAGTTCAAATACTAAGTCCTACCTAATTTGGATTGAGGTATGGATTAACCATAAAGGTTAAGTCTAACTCATACTTGTGTCATGTCAATAAAATAATTGAATGAACTACTTTGGTTTCTGGATGGATTGTTATACATATATCAAGCCACTATACCAGATAGATAATATTTTGTATTAGGAGTATACGGACTTTATATATTTATACTATGGTGCCATGGTATGAGCTTGAGTGTCAGGACCATGGTTAGGGTGCGTATATCACCTAGGATGGATAATTGGACAGTAGTTGTTGTTCCCTGGTAGGTCTAGGTACACATGACCACGTTATGTGCGATTTGCATAGTATCTCTACTCAGGCTAAGACAGACCTATTGGACTAATGAGCGTCCTATAGTGTGTACTTATACATATATGGACTACTCTAGATATTGTTGAGCTATCTAGGATGTATTTGCATATCGAGTTTCTGTATGGATCGTGGTAGAATAGGACTTGCATGTGGACCTGACCCACTCTCTTATTTTTCAGGTGCTCGTCAGTTCCAGGGTTAGAACTTGGTCTTGCTGGTCTTGCAGAGCAGATACAGACACTCATACTTCCGATTACATAGGACTGCTTTTTGTATTTAGCTTTGGATTTTGATTATAGTTATTTCCTTTTCAATTTGAGATATTTGATAAATGTCCACTAGATGAATTCCCGAGTTGTTAAATGAATGGAGGTTTTGGATTAATGGATTTTCACATTTATATTTTGAGGGTTTTTTTTTTAATTAGAATTCTTTTCAGCCTTTAATTATTTCTTTCTTATTATTCTCTTTGTATTTTGTGTTTATTTATATATTAATTGTATGCTATCCCTCGGATCTGTGCTCGGACTTGATTACCCGTGGCTCTTGAATCGAGGGGTATCACATGCTTGAAATCCACACTTACTATATGCAAATTCCATTATCCTCTTGCTTTCATTAGATGCAATTGTGGTTAGTTTAATGGAATATGCTTAGACTTGATGGGTTGTTCTACACCCTAGTTTACATATCATTAGGTAGACAATTCATACTTGCATTTGATAATTCATGCATACTTGATTGCAAGTTGTTTTAGTGATTAAAGCTACATTTAAATTGCAATAATGTTCTCCCCTTTAATGGAAAGTAAGTGGTTAATTGCATGACTTTAATGGTGATTCCAACAAACCTTAAGAATTATCTTCTATCTCTTAAACCCCTAACTCTAACTTAGTTTATTTCCATTACATTTTAATTTAATTGTTCACTAGCCAATGACAACCAAAGGGACAAAATCTACTTCAAACTAAACCAAGAACACCACTAAATGGCTTACACAAGATTAACAAAATCTAGTAGGAAGGAACGAAGTGATAAAGGCCTGAAGAAACAATCAACCAAACAAAACCTACAAAGCAGTTCCATTTCGTTCAACCGAAATGGAGCTTTGGTCTATCGAAATAAGCCAGAAAAAAAAAAAAAAAAAAAAAAAAAAAAAAAAGCCTTCATTTCGGTCGCCTGAAATGACAAACCGGTCAACCGGTTTGTGGCTCGAAACCAAAAAAAGGCTACTGGAATTGGACTTTTACTGTTTAATTGAAATTCAAAAGCCATCAGTCGACCGAAACAAGCTACCAGTCGACCGAAACAGGTTGAAAATGCAAAAATGAACCTGTTATGCACCAAAAATGAAAAGAAGTCCCTAAGGCTCAATCGGATCCCCCCTTGCATGTTCAAATTGAATTGTATGCAAGTGTGTGATGATGTGAACATACACGTAAGTGTAAAATGACATTTTAAACATGGTGAAATAGCCTATGGCCTTATTACAATTCATTTACATCATTTAACATGTCAAATCTCCAAGTTAGAAAAATTACATTTCATAGACAAAACTTAAACATGCTAACACTTGCATGTAAACAAGAATGCTTCTAAAAAAACTTCCATTCTGCAATTCGCCCAAAACAAGTGCAAATCTCCAATCTTGTATCATGTTCCTAAAATATGCCCCAGTAACTTTAGGGTGAGCAACATAAAGCTACTTGTATGAAATGAGCATGCATCGACCTAACGTTTTACATGTTTGCATGATTTAAACATCGTGGTTTTTTCCACCTAGCGTCTATGTCAAAGGTGAGACTCAGAGAGCATCCTAAGCTGCCTAAGATCATTTCTAGCATAAAACACATCATTCATGCAATTCAAACAACATAGAATCATGCTATACAAAGCAACAAAATATAGATTCTCAAAGTCATCAACTTGAAATCTAAAATGTGTAAACAACTAATTAAACCATTTAGCATAATTGGAATTTCTAGTACCACACGTCAAGACATAGATTCTCAAGGTAATTAACTTGAAATCTAAAACTGTGTAAACAACTAAAGTGGGTCATGCCACCTAACGTCTATGTTCCAAATGAATCTATAGGATCATTCCTAAGTCACATTTAAATAATATAACATAGATGTACTTAGCAACATCAAAATTTATAATAATTCATTAAAAATCATAAAACATGAATATACTTAACAACATTAAATCACCAATAACCAAAACCACAAGTCACAATTAGGCATTGGTTGTCAACTTGGAATTAAATGCGAAAACAAATAGTTGAAGACTTCGACATCATGTCTCGGACTAAACCAAGAACAAAATGGTTATTCCGGACATTAACCCGCTGGGAAGACCACCCTAGTGCGCACTATCTCAATGGGGAGAACTCATACCTCCGACACTAGAGCCAAACTCTAGCCATATCACAGTAACAATGTCCCAAGACTCCAAAATAAATAAGTTAACAACTTATATACGAAATATATATATAGCACGAAACTACATTCCATGCACAAGTAGGTTGAAACCACACAATACATGCTCTAAATCCATAACTACTATAGGATGACAATGTCGAATCTTCAGAGCGCGATTCGTTACGCGCTATAATAACATCACATGTCGAATTTTCAGTATGCGATTCGTTACACGCTATAACAATATAATTCAATATTGAAAGCATAACTTATAAATCCATTACAAGTCTAAAATCATGCTTCAAACATACTACCAATGTTATATACACGATTAAATCTTCATCGCAATAGAAACGAAAATTAATCACATAACCTAATTAATTTCTCTAAGTTTCAAGTCTCGATTTAATGATCCTTAATTAACACATGTTATATAACATAGTATGTTCATTACATATACCACATGAAAAACTTAATTAGGCCATTAAAGCAATAGGATGGAATTTAATTAAATCATGATAATTAAACTCCTAGATTGTAAAACGACATCAAATGGTCCCAATTTAACTTATGCTAGTGAGCAAGTCCTAGTCATCGCAAATATCAAGTTAAAAATTCAATTTAAGCCAATGGACCCATAAAATAGATTTTAATTAATTCATTTAATTAAAATCTCTAGAATTTCATACTCATCCAAATGATCTCAAATTAAAGTATGTTAAACAACATGCCATGACTTAATTTAAAAACATATCATAAGTTAATTTCATGCAAGGTACAGTTATGAGAATTAAACTTTCACCAAAGATAATTATTAAATAAAAATTTCAATTCTTATTCAATTAATTTCAATTTAATATATGTTAACAAACATATCAAATCCAAACTTTTTGGCATGCCACAATTTATTTCTAAGTTATACATCATCATGAGAATTAAATCCTAACCAAAGAAATTAATTAAATTAAATTCTAGGACTTAAACAAAAGCATGCATACAAGTTGTATAATCATGGAAAACACTCCATACAACACATATAAAATCCTAAAGCATCCCCTACCTCGATTTGAGGTGAAAATCTCAATTCCCCACCGAAAGAAAAGTACTCTGAATCCAACGATACCGTGGGGTTTTGTCGGAGACAACACGATGAACAAGAATCCCCAAAAAGCCCCATGAAAATCACAACTTGACTTCAAACCCAAACTCGAAAAATGGTCAGAAATGAGTTCTAATAAGGGTGAAAGATAGAGCACAACGAGGGGAACAATAAATGTTAAGGCCGAAGACTTTTCACTTAGGAAAAGTGGATCAAAGGAGGGGAGAGAAAGTGGCAGCTCCATGGGCATCCATGGCTGCTGGCCGAGAGAGGAAGAAGAAGAGAAAAATCTGATTTTTCTTCTTTAAGTCCCCTATTTAGAGAAAATCTCAAAAAGTGCCCCGAAAGGGTCCCGCCAGGTCGGAAAAAGTAGAATTTGAGCAGACACACTCAAACGGCAAAACTCCATGAACAAAAAAGATTCAAAATAAGAAAACATGAATAACGGAAGAGACGGCATTGAAAACTGAGTCCCGAGCAGAGAGATATGCCCCGAACAAGTTTGGCGCAAATTAGGTTCAGAAATTCTGAAACTGGAGAAAAATGACCAGAAGGAAATTCTAAGAGTGCACGACTCGACGAAATGTAAAAATGAATCCTGTACGAGGATCCAGGCTCCAGACGAGGTATTTTTGTAATAACTTTCGTTAATCGCACAATGGTCCTTCCAAAAAGTAAAAACTGCCCTAATGGCCCAGAATGAAAATATTTTTCAAAAATATTTTCTTAAAAACCCCTGAAATAAAATATCTTTAAAAGATATTTACGAAAAACACCCCAAGAAAAGAAAAGATTCTAAAAAACTATGCATCCATGCCCCTATGGACACCGGGAGCAACTAGAGTACTTTCTTACAAAAGTAAAGATACGTATTTCATGGAAACCACTTAGAATAAAGATATGTGAAGTTAAAAACCAACTCCGAATATAAGGAGTGAGGTTATACCAACAAAGTGACAAACGGGGAAAAGACAAAATAGGGAAAATGACGAAATAAGGAAGAAGACGAAAAGTGAAAATGTGAAAATGACTCAGTCCCAAAGGAAGTTGTCAATTCAAAGAAAAGAATCTCGGAAATCATTCCAGAACACTCGAGATGACACTAAGTGATGAGAAACCAAACTCAGAAAGGAAAGATCAACGGGAAAAAAAAAAATATCCGTAAAAATCTGAGCAAAGGGGAAGAAATAAAAATGACCGGGTCATTACACCATATCTTTTATTCTCTCTCTCTATTATAGTAATCACTTGTTAAAACCAATTGTCTTATTATAGTAGTAGTGATTTTTATAAATGTAAATTTGACTCTTTGATAATTCTTTCAAAAAAACTTTTCCTGAACCGCACATTTAAACATCTCATTTTGATTAAAGGAAAAAGGAACCCCACAAAGGGGCTTGATCACTAACTATATGTATGCTTAAATAAACACATATTGAAATACTAACCTTGCACAACCATTCCCATCTTTTATTTTCCAGCACAACCATGCTTGTCTCACTGTTGTACCTCACAAGAGTCTTAGATAATAGTTGTTTGCAATTTTTATACGATGCTCTCATGGTGTTGAATTTTTGTTTACATTGGTCCTTGGTGTACTTCATTCCAGTATCCATCATCATTCCATCCACAATATGTCTACACTCAAATGAATTAAAAGTGGTGATATGACAATTTCTTTTCCTAACTTGTTCCCTCCATCAAGAGAATGAATGTCTCTTGATGGGCATCACATCAAACTGTGCCACTGGTCTGTTCAATAACTACGTCCTCATCACATGATTCATTTGGATTAAGGTGTTGCTCAACTTTCTCATTGTTCATTGCCATCGGATTATTTTAAGTAAATTTCATAATTTAGTTCATTTATAAGCATAATGTAATATTGATTTCCATAACCATGAATGAAGCTAGATAATCCAAGTCTTTTAAAATTGACAGCCAGTTTAATATTTTTTAAGAAAATTAATGTACTGAGTCGATAATGAACAGTAGAAGTCAATCATATTGTGTAATGAACAGTATACCCACGTCAAGCAAGATATGAAACCGAAATAATAGACAACCAATGCCGAAATTTTTTAAAACATGAAACCGAAATAATTTCCAAGTTGCAGTCACAGCATGGAAATGTTCAAAAATCAGTGTAATGAACAACAAACCCGCATCAACCAAGACATAAAACCAAAATCGTAGCCAACAAATGCAGAAATTTTTTAAGAGATAAAATTGAAATCATTTCCCTGTTACAGTCATAGTAAAGAGATGTTTAAAAAATCATAGTGTAATTAACAACAAACCCACATTGAAAATTGAAAAGGAAATGGACACAACAATTCAATCAATTCTTGTAAGTTACTGTCTTGTAAGCCCTCAAATTTTTTTCTGAAACTAAAACATGAAACCAAAATCATAGACAAGCATCCCAGAAGTAACGAAACCGAACTAAGAATTTTTGTGAACTATATAGCAAAAAGAAATTAAAGACCCGTATCACAGAAGTAATTAATCCGAACTAAGAAATTTTGTGAATTATACATGAAACCTAAATTATAAACCCGTATCACAGAAGAAATGAAACCGAACTAAGAAATTTTGTAAACTATACATCAAAACAAAATCAGAGATTCGTATCATAGAAGTAATGAAACCAAACTCAGAAATTTTGTGAACTATATATCAAAATGAAATTAGAGACCTGTGTCACAGAAGTAGCAAATGAAGAATAAAAGTTCCTTTGCTCACAAATCTGAAAGAACAATAACAATACTTGGATCCGAACATCTCCAAATAATCTGAAAGAACAACAAGAAGAAATAAACCATACCTTACAAACTTTTCGCAACACAAAACTTGGATCCGAAGTCGCGAACGGAGAACTAGGGTTCCTTCACTTTTTCAATTGCCTCAAACAAGCTGTAAATTAGAGAAAAACGAGATGAAGCAGAAGAGACCTCTAGGGTTTTGTCATTCTCCTTTCAATTGTGTAACAGATGGTCAAAGAACATACACAAACGAGGGGAAAAGGAATGGTTTTGCAGAGTAAACGTTCAATCCATGGTGTAGTAACCACGAATTGGGATTTCTCTCTCTTCGCATTTCAATCGCCTAACAAAACTTGAAAGAACAGACACACCAAAGGAAAAACAAGAGGAAAATGTTCGATTCGTGGTTAGTACAACACGAACAAGGGTTTCATCAAAATCGCCTTTCGAATCACTTCATAGGAGCTGTATGAAAAGAGAGAAACAAGAGGCCAGAAATGAGGCTAGGGTTACAAATTATGCTTTTATACCTGATATGTCTGCTACAGTATTTGGTGTAAGTATGTATTTTGGTTTGGGCCGTGATATAGTCGCTACAGTGTCAATAACACCCAATATCACCAATTCAGTGATATAGGTTTTGGCCTAAATTTCATATCTATTTTGGTATTGTTTAATACCACATCAGCCCACCCCAAACATAATATGGGCCTAAAATACAAGACCAAAACACCCAAACCAATAACAAACACAATGCCAAACGAGCCCTTATCGTTTAAGCTTAAAATACTCCGTAATCATTATGTTATGTTATAGTATTATTTATTCATAAATAGAACCATTTTTAGATAAGGTAAAAACTACAGCTTATTTTAAAAATAATAAACTGAAAAATATGTATGTTAATTTTAAATTGTTTTTAAAAGATCTAACACAATATGTTGGAAATGGGGCGTATAAAACAGATACTTTGGATGAAATTTGGAGTAGATTCCACTAAGAATTTTTCACGGATCTATAGACAAACGCGCTCCTCTCCGCAAGGAGATGAACATGGTATATTTACTTTCTCAAATCCTTTTCCGAGTGAATGAGAAATTAGCTCCAAAGTGTGATGTTTGATAAGCCTAAATGGGTATGCAAAATGTGGGAAGTGCTTGTCCCACATGGAAAAAATGTTGAAACTAATTGAAGTTTAAATAAGTCGAGCTTGGGCTTAGGCTTGATTGTAAAGTTCGGTTATTCTTTTTACTAAACGGAATTTTGAATTGGGCTAGGCTTATTGAAATGGGTTTTATAAATAGGTGGTTGGTATTTGAATTTAAATTAAAAACCACTTTTTAGATTTTTCAAAAGCGTTGCACCTACCTGAAAAAGCACCTTATTTAAAAACCACTTTTTAGTTTTTTCAAAAGGGTTGCACCCACCCGAAAAGGCACTTTGTTGCTTATAAATACCCCTCTTTGGATCATTTGCAAATCACACCAATTCAGAATTCTCTTCTCTAATTCAGAATTCTCTTCTTCCTTCTCTCTTATTCTATAATCGTCCGTGGGTTCGAGCTTTAGTCTATAAGTTTGAGTCCGAGTTCGAGTCAAAGAGTACTACACTGAACTGGTTCGCCTATTTATTCGGTTTGCAGTACTACTACTAAAGGAAGACAAGTCGTTGTATCATTGGAGTTAGACGCCACTGAGTCCATTAGCACCATAGCGAGGCGAATCTGTCTTAAGAGCATCTCCAATGCTAAAAGCTAAATTCAGATGCCAAATCTATATTTTGACAGGTGATACAGTGTCAAAATGCTACATTTTAACAATTCTGCTCCAACGGTGCATTTCATACAAATGCTATTTTTTGACACAACCACCATTCTTTTTCAACTACCATTCCCACCATTCATATTTGCATCAGTAATATTAATATTAGGTACATTCCAAGTCAAGTTGTAGACATTAGAAGGAAACTAAAATTAAACCTAATTAAAAAAAAAAAAAAAACCAAAAAAAAAAAAAATATCTGGTCAAAAAAACAAAAAAACCAAAAAAAACCAAAAACAAAACAAAACAAATTTTTTATAATTTTTTTACCACTATTTGTGAATTAATTTTTTTATATAATTTTTTTTTCTTTTTCGGAAATTTATATATTATATATATATATGTGTGTGTGTGTGTGCATATAATATAAATTTGATTATATAATTATAAAAAATATATATATTTTTAGGGCAAATCATTTCAGCCTCCCCAATCGCCTCCATCTCATTCTCAACTCTGAGAACTTACCCTCTCTCTGCAACTGCAAACTATAAAATCTACAAAAATCGAAAGTTCAAAACCCATATATTTCAGTTTATCTATCTATCTGAAAGAATTCAAAGTTCAAAACCTATTACCTATATCAAAACCCATATCGACGTTGCTATTTCAACATATTCATCCGATCTTCGGTCGATTTTTGATCACCATCGCTGCCGCCCTCTTCACCGGAGCTCATGCACCACGGCGACGACGGAGGGAGCCACGATCGAACCACCCAGAACCACGGCTGAGCAGCACCTTGGAGTCCTCCAATGGGCCCAGATCGTCGAATCCACCGCCGAAGTTCAGAATCCGGCAACGACAGAAGCCACAACCGGTCATTGCAGATGAGAGGGGGAGAGAGACGACAGAGATAGTGATATTGAGGGACAGAGAATTGAGAGAGATAGGACGATGTTGCAGATAAGAGGGAAAGGGTCATTGCAAATGAGAGGAAGAAACGGCGTCGTAGGGCCATTAAACAAACTTACCAAAAAAATTTGGCAGCTCTTACATTTGAGATAAAATTTGATATTTTCAAATTTTGAGAAGCCAAATGAAAGGCCATTGGAGAGCTCTTTTTTACCTATCTCTCAAATTATGAGGTTGAGAGCTCAAAATGAAAGAGCATTGGAGATGCTCTAAGGATATAGAATCAAATTCTAGCCTCGACTTATAATCAGGTTCTTTTAATTTTATAGTTTTATTTTATTTTTGATATATATAACTATATTTTATAAGAAATTATATATATATTATTGTTTTATAATAGTAATTATATATATTTACACATTATATTTTTAGATAAATTTAAATAGTAATACTATAGTATATGGTATACTTAGACCATATAATTGGACAACAATCTTAAGACAGGTTCTGCTTATACTATAGTTATAATTATTTAAATATTATTCTTGTTGTTATATTGTTATAATTGACTTGTGGTCTGTATATTTAATATATTCAGATGAATGGCAAGTACGAGTACTATTATGCCTAATGTTTCCGTCAGTCATAGGGAGAAGCTCGAAAAATTTAATAGGGCGGAGTTTAAAAGGTGGTAACAGAAAATAATGTTCTACCTTACAACTTTGAATCTGAGCAAGTTCCTAACTAAGATTGCCCCAATGCTAGAAGAGGGTGAGACTGACATTACAAAGCTAGGAGCTGTTGATGCATAAAGACTTCCTATGCAAGAACTACATCCTCAATGGATTGGATAACACTTTACATAATGTATACAGTCCAATAAATACAGCTAAAGAGCTCTGGGAGTCACTAGACAAAAAAATATAAAACAGAGGATGTTGGCTTGAAGAAGTTCGTGATCAGACGATTTCTGGACTTCAAAATGGTAGACTCCAAGGCTGTCATGAGCCAAGTGCAGGAGCTCCAGCTGATCTTACATGAGATACATGCTGAGAATATGACTTTAAGTGAATCTTTTCAAGTGGCTTCAATCATTGAAAAATTGCCACCTACTTGGAAAGATTTCAAAAAATACTTGAAGTATATACGCATGGAAATGGGGCTCGAAGACCTGATTGTCGGGCAGAGGATTGAAGAAGATATTTGAAAAGAAAGCCATGAATTCTTCAATGGTGTCAGCGGAAGCTGGACAAAAAAATAAGAAGAGGAAGCACTCTGGAGAAAGTCCCAGACAAAGAATTACAAGAGGTTCACTGGGAAGTGCTACATATGTGGGAAGCTAGGACACCTGAGGTGTACATTGCCGAGGAAGATAAATTGACAGCTGATGTGTCAGAGCTAAATCTTTCAGCTGTGGTTTCTGAAATCAAACTTGTGAGCAATAATAGAGAATGGTGGGTGGATACAAGGGCTACTCGTCATGTTTGCTCAGAAAAGAGGATGTTTACTACCTATGAAGCTATAGATAATAAAGAACAACTCTATATGAGGAACTCTTCTACTGCAAAGGTTGAAGGACAATGAAAGATTAAGCTGCTAAGGACCTCGGGGAAAAAGCTCACTCTGAATAATGTGCTGCATGTACCAGACATCAGGAAGAACTTGGTCTCTAGATCACTCCTGAGTAAGAATGGGTTCAAGCTGGTCTTTGTATCTGATAAGTTTGTGCTTACTAAGAATAGGGTGTATGCGGGCAAAGGGTACCTAAGTAATGGATTATTTAAATTCAATGTAATGACTGTTGTACCCAAAGCTATTAATAATAATAAAGCTAATGCTTCTGCTTATATGATTGAGTCATCTGATGCTTGGCATGGAAAATTAGGACATGTTAATTATGATACGATTCATAAATTAATTAACATGGATTCTATACCTAAATTTAGTATTGATTTAAATAAAATAAAAAATGTCAAACATGTGTAGAAGCAAAACTAACTAGAACCTCATTTCACTCTATAGAATAAGGTACTAAACCTCTAGCATTAATTCATAGTGATATCTATGACTTTAAATCTGTGTCAATAAGAGGTGGAAAAAGTTATTTTATTACTTTATTGATGATTGCACAAGATACTATTATGTATACTTGGTAAGAAGTAAGGATAAAGCCTTTAAAATGTTTAAACATTACAAGAATGAAGTTAAGAATCAACTTGACAAAAGGATAAAGGTATTTAGAAGTGATAGAGGTGGTGAATACGAAGCACCATTTGTTGACATTTGTTCAGAACATGGTATTATTCACCAAACTACCGCTCCTTATTCACCTCAATAGAATGGTGTTGCTGAACGCAAAAATAGCACCTTAAAATAAATGATAAATGCTATGTTGATAAGTTCTGGTTTAACCCATAATTTATAGGGGGAAGCTTTGCTTTCTGCAAATTATGTTCTCAACAAAATACCCTGAAAGAAAACAAATGTGACACCTTATGAATTATGGAAAGGTCAAAAACCTTCCTATAAATTCTTAAAAGTGTGGGATTGCCTGGCTAAGGTTGCGGTTCCTACTCCTAAGAAAGTTAAGATAGGACCAAAAACATTTGATGGTATTTTCATAGGCTATGCACAGAATGGTAGTGCATATAATTTCCTTGTGCATAAATCAGACATTCCTGATATCCATATCAATACAATTATTGAGTCAAGGAATGCTTGTTTCTTGGAGGATGAATTGCTAATAGCAATATACAAAAAAATATAAACCAAGAGTCTATAGATGATGGAAATAAGGATGAACTTAGACGTAGTAAAAGAGATAGAACGTCTAAGTCATTTGGTCTTCATTTTCTGATATATATATTGGAGAATGAGCCACAAAGTTATAAG